AAAAAAAAAAAAAAAAAATCCAAGACTGTAGTAAAGTGGGTAGTCTGCAGAACCCACACCTTTACTTGGGTGAATTTTCAAGGGTATTTTCATCAGGATAACTTATTAGTAGCTTCATTTTTTTACCAAGATGATATTCTTGAAGTATGGAAATTCCTACCTTTCCTCTGGTCAGTGAATACATATTAATCCCATTGATGCTAGTGCAGTTATTGTTTGCCTTAGAGTTGAGCAATAGTATTGAAATTTTCCATTGTATGTAATATAAATACTATTTTTTCTATTTGGAATAAATTAACACTTTAGGGTATCAATTTAGTTTCTTCATTATTTGACCTTTTATCTCTTAAAAGTGAACGGTACCTCAAAGAAAAAAGAGTATGTATAATTCTGGTGCTTTTCACTGGGATGAAAAAATAGAGGTGTTCTTGAGGTCTTGCCCTTTATCCATAGCGAGTGATTGAGGCTTCTAGACTGATCAAGGCAACTCCAGTCCTAAGTTCTAATTTCAGAATATGTAGGATTCCTCAGGACTAGACTCAGCAAACTGCTATAAACGTGACTCCAGAAGGTTCTCCTAAGAATTTAGATAATGATTTACCACTATTCATACACTCGAGTTGAAGTCCTTAGGCTACTAGAAATCTCCACTCTGTGAGCTGGAGAACCTAGGTGTAAGCATTAATTTGGAAAGTTCATGCTCTTCTGAATTCTAGCATTTGAAATAGATGTACTGATACATGAATTGGGGGTCTGGCATATATTCTGTTTGAATGATTGTGTGCCTTATGTCTGATACCACAGCCCAGGCCCATTATTTTTATTTATTAGTGGATAGCACTAAATTATATCTAACTGACTTATTTTTAGCCTTTAGAACAAGAATTTCTTGGCAGCAATTTAAATATATTAATTAGGGTGGTGTCAGCAAATATTTTACCTTCAGCTTAACTCCTTTCCTTTCTTTTGACTCTGTCCTATTCACTGCCAACTAATATATTTTGTCAGGAATAGTTTGTTTTATTTGGATTCTAAACAAACCTCAGATGTACTGAGAACAATACAAACACAAAAAGAGAAAAATACAAGCAGGGAAAATTCCTGTGGGATGTTGTTTCCTGTCTTGTCTGAGGGGAGGTAGTATAGCCTAGTGATGAGGAGGTTGGAATGTGAGATGGTGGTTAAGAGTCAGGATCTCTTAAAAGTGATCTTGAGCAAGTTACTTAAACTTTCTAATTATCAGTTTCTTTATCTGTAAAATGGAGGTAATGGGAGTACTTGCCTCAAATTGCTGAGAGAATTAAATGAAATAATTCTGGAAGACATTTAGCACAGTAAAGCAATAATGCTCCATTCAGGGTACCATTAATATTGACTGCCTTAAAAATGTAATCTTCTAGCCAGGTGCGATGACTAATGCTTGTAATCTCAACACTTTTGGAGGCTGAGGTGGGACGATCATCTTGAGCCCGAGAGTGCAAGATTAACCTGGGTAACATAGCAGAATCTTGTCTCTGTTTTTCAAAAAAAAAGTCACCTTTGTAACACTAGTGAATTTGGATAAGGAGCAAATTCAGATTGTATGCTAATTTTAATAATGAGAAATTTGATTTACTATTTATAAACAAGAAGTACTTTTCATAAGGTTTCATGCCTATTTAGAGTTCCTGGTTCTTGTTTTTATTCATTTTCTGTCAGACTATTTTATCTTTATGCCAATTAGATTAGAAATAAAATGGATTATTTACTATACCTTTCACTGTATAAATGAATATTTCATTTTCTAAGGTCTGGAAAAAAAAAAAGCCTCAGCCAAACTTTCTGAATGACTCCCTCCAGAAATAATCCAATTTACGTTCATCTCTTAGTGAGAATTAAATAAAAGTATTAATATTGTATGTAATATTTTAAAGAATCGGAAAGATGGAAGGTGATATTATCTTAGTTTTGGAAAAATGTGTGACCTCGGAGAAAATCTCCAAGGATCTTGATTTTAGAGCTTCTGGTGGCTATAGGCACTTGTAAGATTGAACTCAGTCACTTTGCTAAGTTTGAGAGCTGTATGTTATTTCTAGAAAGTATGAATTGGAACAATTAAATTTCTTTTCAGCAAGGTTTGTGACAAGTAGGAAAAATCTGGTCTCTAAAGCATATTACCTATTTATTTATTTATTTAGACAGGGTCTTGCTCTGATGCTTAGGCTGGAGTGCAGTGGTGCAGTCATGGATCACTGCAGCCTGGACTTCCTGGGCTCAAGCAATCCTCCTGCCTCAGCCTCTCGAGTAGCTGGGACTGCTGGCATGCACAACCACGCTGAGCTAATTTTTTTTCTTTTTTTACATCTTTTGAAGAGATGAGATCTCACTGTCTTGCTCAGGTTTGTCCTTTTTTGGTCCTCACAACTCTTTTTAGAAGTTTACAGTCCAAATGTGAAGTTTAGTGTTAGAAATAAGTGTACATTTAATAATGTGTATGCTAGGAAAAAAATGAGAATTCATGTTATTTCTCCTTTACCACAGTAGGAAAATCCAGCTACGTGTAGGATGATAAATTAAAAGTATATTCCTAACCAGGCATGGTGATGTGAGATGGAAGAATTTCTTGAGCCCAGGAGTTTGAATCCAGCCTGAGCAATGTAGCGAGACCCCATCTCTAAAAACAAAAAATTATTCCTAATAGGTCACTTTATTTTTAGAGCAGTCATTGCCTTCAGTCATACTACTAGTGATAGGGTGATAGCTAATTAATATTTATTGAGCACTTACTTTGGGACCAGGTACTGTTCTAAGCACTTTGCATGTCTTAACTCATGATTACCCCACAGTAACCCTATGAAGTAGCTACTATGTGATCCCCTTTTGTATATGAAGAAACTAGGGTGCAGAGAGGCTAAAGTAACTTGCCCAGGCATAGTGCTAGTGAAGGGCAAAACCAGGATTAAAACCCTGTCAGTATGGCTTCAGAACGCCTTCTCTAAACCACTAAATGTGCTACCTCTCACTGAGCTTTACCAGTTTCCACTGCTCAAATGGCTACATCCTCTTTCCATTTTATTTTATGTATGAAAATAAAGTAAGATAAACATAGTGATTAGGAGCATGAGGTTTAGAATTAGTATCACCTTGTTGTCCTAGCAGTGCCATTTAAGTAGTTGTGGTGCTATTGATGAGTTTCCTAGATCCCCACCCCTTTTTTATTTGTTTCTAGAAAAAACATTGATTACATATAAAGCTTAGGATTCTCCTTAAACAACTTTCCTCAATCTCTGTCTTTTACCCTCAAGTATAATCACTTATATGTAATACACCTTTACACACACACAATCATATACACAGACATAGATGCAGTTGGTTCTCATTTAAAGTAGAATACAGAGTTAGGTTCCTACAAGCCTCTGGTCATAACATTTTATCTACTGATCAATATATAACCACATGTTATGTGTGTTTCTGTTTAAAGATTCCTCATTTAATATATGTTGTTGCTTCACTAACATGAAGCTCATGGTCAACATCACTCTAACTCATACCTGAACCAAGCTTATCTAACATGCATATTTTCCCCATAAGGCCTTTTTGCACTTAGGAATGCTAGACAGCACTTTGGCACTATATTTGGGGGCCATTTTAAACAGTGAAGCCACCAAAAACACAAAAATGTGGCACCAAACAGATGGTGAAAGGGCTGTTGTGAATAGTAAGAGCCGAAACTAGAAAGTAGCAGAGATCACAGAGTTCAGCCTCAGCTGGGGACGTGTGCGTGTGGTAACTCAAATATTTTGCCACTTTAGCACGTGTCTGTAATAACCACAGAAATACCACAAGTATTGGTTTAGGGGTTACAAATGAATTTTAGCAAACAGGCAAATTCACAAATACGGAATGTGTAAATGATCAAGATCAACTATATATACACACACACACACCCATATAAATATATAGGTTTGTATGTGCTGTTTAAATTTATTATATAATGTAAAAACATATTCCACAGCATAATTTTTTAAAGTTAGTCATGTGGCTTGTAGATGTTTTTATGAAGCTACACTAGATCAGTTGTATTCTTTTGAAGTGATACATAATTATTCATAATAGGGATCTACCATAATTTAACCATTCATCTAATGATAGTGTAAATTTCAGTTTCCTCATAGGTAAATAGTAAATAAAAATAAAAGATGTGGCTTTGAGAGTTAAATGAGCTTAGTACATTGCCCTACAACTTAAGCACTTAATGACTATGAGTTAATGAAAAATAAAGGGCTTTGGAGTCAGACAGACGTGGGTTCCACATTCCATCTCTTCCCTCCCTAGCTGTGAGACTTCATTGAATTACTGAATCTCTTTCTGTGTAAAAGAGATAGATGAAGAACAAAAATAGTAATAACTTTAAGATTATTGAATCTCTCTAAGTCGTCTCATCTGAAACTGGAGATTGTAGTACTTCATTGTTTTTGTGACAATGAAATATAATCATACCTAAAGTACCTACCACACAGGAACTCAGTGTTTCTTCCCTCTTAGATAATTTGATCTCAAGAAAATGGTATTACTTTATTAGAGTAGCATTACAGAATCAATATCTTATTTTAAAAATATAACACGGCATTGTACTTCTACATATTCAGAACATAAAAGAGAGAACTAAGCCATTTTAGTACAGTGCTTAGACTGTATACTTTCAGTGAGGTATATTCTAAAAACAAAGTAATGTTGAGTTTTTGTTGGTGGTGGTACATATATAGCAAATCTAGAACTCTTATGTATTTTAAGTTGAACAAATACGATGTTGCTGAGAGGGTTTTCTTGGTGGAAGAAAGGAGATATGGAATGGGATAAGAGAAGGATTAATTTCTTAAATCCTCTGGGGCTTTAAGAAATTAGAATTAACAATAAAAGCATGAACTGTAATATTCTAAAAAAAATGTATGCATATGATAGGTATGTGTGCATAGGCCTAGAAACAGTGACACCCTGGCAATTAGTACAGCTGTTCGTGCTTGGTTTTTAAATAATAGTCACAGCTAAAAGGAATTAGGACTCCAGAACTGTGTAAAGATGAATTTGGACATATATCAGAAAGTAAGAAGATACCCCAAAATTAATGCGTATATTTCAAAAAGACACAGAAGCCAGCTCAAAAAGGCTCTCATTGGTCAAATCTGGGACAGTATGAGTATCAGAATGAATGATGACAGTAATGAGTATAACATAGTGAACAAGAGAAGAATCCCTGAGTACACAGTGATGTGAACAAATAAGTAAAATGGGAGGAGGGGAAGAAAAAGCTCTTCTTTACAATAGAATGTCAACAACTGTAGAAGGAATCATAGGGTTAGAAAATCACCATCATATAACTGATAATTGTTTTAGAAAGAATCATCAATGATCGCTAAATTATTGGATGCAGGGCTGTTGGAGAACAGGATATTTACACAGTCTCATCAAGCTGTCTCCCTATCAATAGTTTATTAATTACAAAGGTAGAAAAGAGTACCTTTACCTTGGAGAAATTTGGCATATATACCAGCTTAAGCAGACGATCAAAGTTAACATCATCAGTATTGGGATAAACTGATACCACATGCCTTCTGAGATGATGCCCTGAGACACACAGTATCACTTCTGTAGTATTCTTGCCAAAACCGCATGAACTGAATCTGATCATGAAGAAACAATCAGGCAACCCAACTTCAGCACATTCCACTGATAAGTGTTCTGTGCTCTTCGAAAGTACTAGTATCATAAAGGACAAAGAGGGGCTGAGGAACTATTTCAAACTCAAGAGATTGGAAACTAAATTCAGTATGTGATCTTGGATTGGATGTTAGTAGGAAACATGACTATAAAAAAGTGACTGAAAAATGACTGGAATTATTGGGACATCAATGTTAAATTTCATGAATTTAATATATATTGATTATGTAAGTTAATGTTCTTGTTCTTAGCTGAAATTAGTTTGAGCATATAGGGGGCAAAGCTGTCTAAAACTTACTCCCAAATAGTTCTGCAAAAAGATTTTCACTGGGGCACACACACAGGGAAAGAGAGAGGGAGAACATATTTGGTGAAACTTTTAACAATTGATGAGATGAATCTAAGTGAAGGCTATATGGGGTGTTCATTGCACAATTCTTGAAACTTTTGTGTGGGTTTGAAATTTTTCAAAATAAAAAGTTGAAAAAGAAACAATTGGAAAATTAAAAAAAAAAAAAAAAGCATAAAATAGAAAGGAAGACTCTTATCTCACCGCAGACATAACCTTTGTTAATATGTTGGAGTATTTCTTTCCATTCATTTCCATGATCCAATAGTGGGCTTTGTTAAACTCAAGCTCATCTCAAGTAAACATTTTCCTCAAACTTAAAACAATGTATTTTTAAAAAATAAAAAGGAATGTGCTGTTCTTGAGGCATTGTTTATGTTCCTTCCAGGAAACTGGTATCCTTGGCAATGTTATGGTCTATTCCTGTTCTTCTACAAGATTAAAACAGATTGGACCTAAAATGGTTCTCTAAGTTGAATGAAAAGCAGTCTGATCTGAAGTCGCCTTCACTGAACACCATGGCATATATAACTCTTGATGGCTCTGTTTCTGTTTCTCATGGCACTCAGCAGTGCTCTCATGTCTCAGCTATTTCAGGAATAGGGGAAATTATTTATTTTATTTTAGCACTTAAATATCTCATTTGTATGTAAGAAATCTGAAGCAGCTGAGATAAACCACGTGATGAAGACAGCATCTCACTGAATGTTCCTTTAGCTGGAATGAACTTGATTGTTGAATGTTTATTAGAGGTTAGGGGAAAAATCCTTTAGTTTGACAGTCCCTACCTTTTAAAAATGTCATGCGCTTTCTAATATTTATCAGGATAGAAGTAGTTTATTGCCCTATTCCTCACATAATGTGTGCCTAGCATAGGGCCTGGTACATAGTAGCATAAAGGTATAGTGTTTATTATGCACAGGTACCATTCTATATATTGTACATGTATCTCTTTCCCTCAGTCATCTGTGTTATCACTCAGTTCTCTGAGACTACCTCCAGCTGTCTCAGAGACATTAATGATTTTAGACTAATTTCTAAAGACCTTTCATTTTGATTTTATTATATTTTTATTACCAAAAAACTTCTTAGTGGTTCAGAAGCATTAACAAGTCAGAAAAGACAAGTGGAATTTCCTCAGTGGACCAGCAGAGGAAAGACCTTGTAAGGAAGAGAAGAAAGATCAATATTATTTAGTAACTGAATTGCCAGTCCTGCTAGACGTTTTTCATGTAACTACATTTCATCTGCACGATAACTGGGTGAAGTAAACAGGATTGTCACATATTTACAGCTGAGGAAGCAAAGTCTGAAAGCCAGAAAGTCTGATTAATTTACCTAAGGTCACACCACAGCCAGGTAGTGGAACTGGGGTCAGATCAGTAGTGTCTGCCTGGTTTTGAAGCCTGATTTGATTTCTCCATTATAAAATACATTGCTGCTGGTCTCAACTAGTTTTTCTGTTACATGTTTTAAACACAATGGATGTTTCTTTGTATCTTCTTCACCAGGCTTTTCTGATGTGGATCACACCTATGCTCAAAGAACTCAGCTCTTTGACACCTTAGTAAATTTCTTTCCTGACAGCATGACTCCACCTAAAGGCAACCTGGTAGACCTCATCACACTGTAACTGAAGAGTCACTGGACACAGAAATGGAAAACAGGAGTCGATTTTCCATCTTTTGGATTGCAGCTCCATTGACTGACAGTAAAGCTGCAGTGATTGAGGACTGCACCAGAGTTTTGAAGGGATCTTAACCATCACAAGTTTTTACCCTCTTCCTTCATGCCTGACCTCAACCCTGCTCTCCTCATCCTATTCCTAAATTAGGCTAATAAAGTGAAATTGGTATACTTTCCAGTTAAATATATATATATATTTTTCTTACTTTATCTTTTAAGAATTAATGAGTATAAAAGAAAAATTAGGCAGTTTACCCTTTCAGATTTTTATTTCTTTTTTTTAATTGGGGGAAATAAGCACTATTAACAGATTCGGCACTACAAGTATTTTGAATGTTGTTGCTGTTGGTCATTTGACCTGCCTTCTCCCTTCCCATTTCACTTCACCTCCCATCACACAACTGCGTGTAAGTGGTGTCACTTGTTTACCTCTTTACTTCATTCTTAACAAGTGTATAGTTCTCTAGGACAGTTGATGTATGTTAAGGTGATATCTGTGTCTGTGTTGACTTGTTTTGTGTTACGTTAAACAGTAGGCAGAACTGAGGTCTCAAGTTTGCACTCTTGGCCATAAAACTAAACACGAAACCTGAGATTGACCCTAGCACCTATCTGAGATTGGTATATAATATTTCTGTAATGATATATTTTATAGTAGATATTACAGTAGCATCTGACTTTGAGTCACAGAAACCTTAAACTGAGGAGACAATAGTTCAGAACCTTTAAGAGCCATTCTAAAAATGACCAGCAGGAGGGATCGAGTAGTGAATAATATCTTCATAGCAATTTTAGGAGAAAATGACTCTTTCGTCCAGAAGAGCTCTGCAGAACCAGGGCTCCCGTTTCTCTTGTGCTGTCTCTGTAGTATTTTCATTTGAGAGAGGAGGCTGGGTTTCCAGAGCTTTGCTTTCATTTATTTTTATATGCATTGTCTCTCTATATCTGCTTGTGGATATTGATATTTTAAAGAGAAATGGTTTGTGGTTGTCCAGTGGTATACAACTGACAGGCATTTCATTAAGCACATAGACCAGACTTTGTGAACAGTTCAAATATTTTTTCATTAAAAAACAAGGTATGGCAGATGCACTTTTCCACAGGTCAGTTTTTTTTTGTGAGAGAGAGAGATACATATCTTCTGAGAAGGTGCTGTGGAATGCAATGTGGGGAACCTGCATCTGGCTAGTGCTTACATTTGCTCAAAAACCATGTTGTGTGAAGCTGACCACCACCATGCTAAAGCAGACTCGTATTAAAGAATTGTCAGTCGATCCAGTGGCTCTTAAGAGTGAATAGCTTTATGGAATCAAGTATGTCCCTGAGTAGCAAGATTAGGCCTCACCAAAGAAGAAATTAACCTGCAGTTTCAAAAAGTGTCATGTATAGGAATGAAACATTGAGGTCCCACTTTATTCTGTCTTTAGTACATGGTTTTACTTCTTTTGGGGATTGATGGGAATGTATTTTTGTTAGTTCTAGGCTTGAATCATGGGCTCCTTGGCTTTCCTAGCATCCCAAAGCAGTCAACAGTGATTTCTTAAGCAATTTGATCTGTACCTTTACTTGTGAAAGGTATGCTATATAATTCAGCAAGTACCAACTTGTGTAGCTGCAGAATAACCAAGTGGCTATCCAGTCAAGCAAATACAGTTTACTTACATACTTGAACAGTTTCATAAAATGATTCCCCTGAGTGACACAAGAACATAAAATGTTAATATCACTAATATAGCCTGTTAAATCTTTTGGGAGACAGGTGAAAATCAGAAGATTGACAAGGAAGAACTTGAACTTGCTAAGACTCCTAAATTTAAAAGCTCTAGTTTTGCTTAGTATGAATTCTGGCACTTTAAAAAGATTAAGCAAGCGAAATCCTGCTGCCCTCCACCATTTATTTTTACAGTGCTTCTTTGTAATTGTTTTCATCAGTTCCTTAAATGTTACTTGGAGGAAACTAAGTTCTTGACCTCAGTAATTTTATTTTTGTTTTTCCCTAATTGCTTCCCTACTAGTTTTTTTGGAAAACATATTTGTTTTAATTTCATCTTTCCTCACTTTATTTAGGTAAAATTTTCCCCCTTCATTTCTGGAATTTTTTGCTCACCGCCATGTTTAAATGGGGTTGAATCATAGCGAGCCATTTGCTCTTGCCAAAGTGAGATAGATGTACTGAGGAGATAATTGAAAAGTCAGACACGGTACTGTGGGGCTTTAATGGGAGCACTACTGGAAATGATTGCAGAGAATGTAGTGCTTCATATATCCATGACCAAGATTGACATGTTGCTCACAAGATGTCACTATTTAGTGAGGACCCACATGTATTTCCAAGAATTCCAGCATTGACTATAATTTAAATAATCGAATTTGGTATTTAGGTACACTGTTTATATAGCCAAGTGTATATGCTTTACTACCTAACAATTATTTCATTCTAGCCTAGGTGAATCCCTAATTGAAACACCTGGCTAACACTTCAGACACATGAATTAAGTGGGATACAGTTTGCTCATTTGTATTATCTCCAACTTCAACCTCATTCTTCCTTTTTCCTAGTATAATACATTATTTTCAACCAGAAATTAAACTAGATATCCAACATTATTTTCAGTGCTTGTACTTCATGAGAAATAATCTGATTTTCAAGATACCTCTTAAGTGTATTTGCATTTTATTTTGGTAATGGCAGAGACCTCATGTGGCCAGTTTGATTGATTCAAGAATATATCACTCTTATTCAAACAAAGGAATTCAGACTTGAATGCCTACCTCTGTGCTGAAGCTGACAGACAGTATTAACTCTTATCAAGGCCATCTTTTAGACCTGATTCATTTATATGAAAACAGACCTGTCCATGTCTAATAAGTAAAAACTGATAGAATACATTAAAAAGTCACTGGCTTATCATAGAAAAGTTTGATGGGTTTAGAGCTCAGTGATTTAAGCTTCTAAAACTGCATTCTTGGGCAAAGTATGTATATTGTATATAAATAGTTGGCAGCTTATTCCAGTTGGTCTCTTCACGTCTGCTTTTAAAGTGCTATGTAGAGATACATTAACAGAGGTATAATAAAACAGTGTTTTAAAATCTAGCCTGTAAACAAAAGCTAGTTTGAGGCACCCAAGCATTTAGTGAGAGATAAGCACGAATGCTTAATGGATCAAAAAAGCACTTAGGAGTATGTTCCTGATTTTATTCTCTAAATTATACTCAATTTCATGGTAATTACATGAAGAAGTACCTACAATTATTCTTAACACTACATGGAATTCACTGGGTAATTGTGGGTCACTTATTTCCTGAAAGTCACGTGAAATCCTTAGCTGGTTGAATGTTGCACAGTATTTGTGTGTTATGGTTTAAAGTGATTTCTGTGGGAGGGAATCATTACAACGTATATTCTAAATAAAGTCATCTAACTATTAAAAAAAAACCCTTCCTAACCCTTCTTTTCTTAAAAATCCACATTAATCCACAATTTCATCCCTTTGCAGAAATTCTTGCCTGAATTCTCACCAAGTTTTGAATTCCTAAAATAGCCCCTGATCTAGGATGTGAAGGCTGCCCCAGAAAAAGTTTATGACTGGAGGAGTATCATAGAGGGTCTACATATGACAGATTAGATCTTTGGGCGCTTTAACACAAGAGATTTTTGTAATCCTTATTAGTCAAATAACACTATTCTTTTGTGATTCTAGACCCTGGCTTCTATCTCCCTGTGATTTGTTTTAATGCTGAAATGACTTGGCTATCCAAAATTTCTAGTCTAGAGGTCTGTTGGTTGAAGGTAGACATTTCCAAGTTTGTCGAAATAATATGAAGCTGACGAGCTCACATGAATGATGCTGCCCTCATGTGTTTTGGGTGAGGACTCATTACTGCAGTATGTCAATTTCTTCACCAAATGCTTTTTCTTTTTCTCAATAAATCCTGTCTTAGAGGTTCTATTTATACATGATTTTTAAAACCTTGGTTTCCTTCTATCCACCAAATACTGTGAATTGTTTTTCCATTTATTTTTCTTAGCTAATGTAACTTTATTCTTGACTTTTGTTAGCCCTAGACTTCCGAGATTTTCTGTGGCATTCTGTAGGAGCATTGTATTACTTGGGAAAAAAAGATCAAAATCATTCTGAGGCAAATGCTCTATTATCCTTATTTATGACAAGAGAATAATGAAATTAATAAGGAATTAATAGCATTCAGATGTTGCTGTAAACATACTTGAGTCATTTTCATTTGGGGTTAGTAATAATGGCTGTGGCAGCTCTAATGGAGAAACCTGTGTTGGCCTCTTTTCCTGGCATTAGGGACTCCTGTCATAGAACTATCTACGGTAAAGTACAAGTTTGATAGCAGAGCTCCTGAATTCAGCATATCATCAGAATTTCCATTTACCTTTTGTTTTTCTTTTTATTGTATTTTTTAATCTTTTTGTTTCTATTCCTACCTCTCATGAGTGGCATTGATTTTCTGCTGAAGTTAGAATTTGTGTTAAGAATTGACTTTAAATTTCTGACATAGTTGAATATTAGAAATGGCTTCAATTGCCATGAAATAATTGCTTTTTGCCGGGCACGGTGGCTCACGCCTGTAATCCCAGCACTTTGGGAGGCCGAGGTGAGCAGATCATGAGGTCAGGAGATCGAGACTATCTTGGCTACCACGGTGAAACCCCGTCTCTACTAAAAATACAAAAAATTAGCTGGGCGTGGTGGCGGGCGCCTGTAGTCCCAGCTACTTGGGAGGCTGAGGCAGGAGAATGGCGTGAACCCGGGGGGGTGGAGCTTGCAGTGAGCCTAGATTGTGCCACTGCTCTCCAGCCTGGGCAACAGAGCAAACTCCGCCTCAAAAAAAAAAAGAAAAGAAATAATTGCTTTTCTTTTTTTTTCCTCTTAAAAATAATACAGTCTTATAAATGTCTCTTCCCCTCAAGAATGTGAATTTAGGCTGGGCTTAGTGACTCACACCTGTAATCCCAGACCTTTGGGAGGGTGACACGGGAGGATTGCTTCAGCCCAGCAATTTGAGACCAGCCTGGGCAACATAGCAAGACCTCATCTATACTTTAAAAATTTTTGTTTTTTAGCCAGGTGTGGTGGTACGTGCCTGTAGTCCCAGCTACTTGGGAGGCTGAGGTGGGAGGATCACTTGAACCCAGGAGTTTGAGGCTGCAGTGAGCTATGATTGCAACACTGCACTCCAGCCTGGGCAATAGAGCAAGACTCTGTCTCCAAAAAACAGCAACAAAAAAAATGTGAATTTAGCTCCATTTTCAAATGACTAACTCTTATGCCAGTCATAGCCAGTGAAATCATCTGATGGTAGCTTCTGTAGCCCTTAACCTAAGGAGTCATTAGAGGTTATAGTAAATTAGTTTCTCTAGTGGTGCAGAGAGAAATGCCATCGGAGGAAATTATCACTGTCTTTTTTGCTAAAGTTTTGTGAGCTGGATCCTACTTAACAGCTTAAAAACACAAAAATGAAAGAGTAGTCCTAGTTTATCTTCTTAATTGGAATCGTTATTTGGAAATAAGATTTGCAGTATGCTGTCTATCCCCAAACACTGCCGAGCTTGCAGGAAAACAGAATTTAACATGGATGTTATCTGAAAGCTGTAGGGTCAACAACAAAAAAAGGTGAAATGTTTAGTAGGGAACTGGACCAGTTCTAAGGTATCACTTTTAATTATAAAATAATGTCTTCCTTTTTATCTGCTTTTCAAACAGCCTCAGGGAACTATTAAACATTTGTGTGCAAGGTCCTATTTTGCTTATCTAAGGCATTTTGACTTGGAAGTATTAAACTTCAGGAACGAGCTAGAGAAGATAATGAGGGTATGTTAGAGGAGGAAAAATAGGAGTTTTGCCCATGTATTTTAGAGGTCCACAAATCGAAAGGAAAAAGAAATTTCTTCATTTCTAACCCTAAAATAATTTTGTTAATGAGATGCTGGGAAAAAGACTACCAAAAGGCCTCAAAGCTCATGCTTCCAGAATATTCAGTAATTCCAAATAATCTTTGGGAAGTAGCATTTCTTGGTTAGTTACCTTTCTTCCCTTCTCCCAAATAACCGTGTGAGATCTTAAAACAGAAAATCTAGTGTTAATGGGCTCTAAATCTTAAACTAGGTGAGCAGCTTCTTACGTATAGCCAGTTCCTTGTTAAGGATCCAGCAGGAAAACCAGCCATGAAACATTTCCACATGCAGTTTGGGGGCTCCCTTGCTTATTCACTGAGTTTAAGCTCTTGCTGCAACATAGCTCTGTACCATCTGGGATGCTAGCAGTCCCAGCAGTTAGCTCAGATATCTGAGCTGTCTGCCACACAAATACCAGCCTGAGGAGATCATCATTCTTCAGTTTCATTCATTACTTAATGAATGCCAAATTAATTGGCAGGAAGAAGAAACACTCTGTGTGATATACTGAACAAGCCTGTGTGCATGATTAAGGAGCCACTCAAAAAGCCAATTTTGAGCTTTATTTCTCCTTTGTTAGCAAATCTCAAGAAAGCCTTTGTTACAGTTTAGCTCATGTCATTTGGTTGGTTTTATTTTCTAGCCTTTTAACATAGGAGGAAAATTGTCATTTCATGTATAACTTGTAACACATACAGAATTGAACTGATATTAGTTTCTTTGCCTTAAATTAATTGTGTATCATCCCAAGGGTCTCTGTTAATTTTGCTTTGCCAAGAAATAATGAGATCTGGGTTTGGCATCAGAAGTATTTCATAGGCCGGGCGCGGCGGCTCAAGCCTGTAATCCCAGCACTTTGGGAGGCCGAGACGAGCGGATCACAAGGTCAGGAGATCGAGACCATCCTGGCTAACCCCGTGAAACCCTGTCTCTACTAAAGAAAAATACAAAAAACTAGCCAGGCGAGGTGGCGGGCGCCTATAGTCCCAGCTACTCGGGAGGCTGAGGCAGGAGAATGGCAGAGCTTGCAGTGAGCTGAGATCCGGCCACTGCACTCCAGTTTGGGCGACAGAGCGAGACTCCATCTCAAAAAAAAAAAAAAAAAGTATTTCATAATTTTGGTTTTTTCTTTAGGTCTCCTCCACATCTGTAAAGTGATTAATTAAATTAGAGGAGGCATGCAGAATAAATCCCAATCCCATTGCAACTGGCAGAGCTTTGTAAATTGAGTTACAACAAAGGAGAGGATCTTACACCATTAGAGCCATGCCATCAGGTGTTTGCAAGTGACAGCTGTAGTGTGTTGCCTCAAATAATACCAAGTTACAAGATAGCTAATACCAAGTAATTAACAACTCACTCCCAAATTTAATAATAAAATATCAGAGTCCAAAAGGTTACTTATGAGTAGTCTTCCACGGGGGAAGATAAATTTATTAAGAAGTCGTATACTGATCTTGGGATTTTTTTTTTTCCTTTCCCAGAAAAAAAAAAATGATTTTGGTGACTGATCAATTGTAAACAATTTTCTTCCTTACTTACAAATCATCCATTTAGAAAAATAAACGTGAACTTCCTTTCCTAAGCATTACAATTAGCCTGGGCAAGAGGTGTTATGATTGTCTTATTCTTTAAGCCAGTTTACTTTTTGGATTTGTGTGAAATGTCTTTTGAAAAGAAGGTAGATAGTATAGTATTAATTAACTACTTTGTATAGTCTTCTGCATAATTTAGAGTTGAAAATAATGTAACATTTTCCTGTGAACAGATTTATGTAGACATATAAATATACATATATACACAGAGACACACATTTTTTAAATGCTCTTTTTAAAGAGATTTCTTGCCTTGCTCCCACTCCAAAAGCTATGTACAGTTGAGTCATTAGCCTCAGAGGAAGAGTACGGGAAAGCAAAGATGAGGACCTCCTTTTCTTGTGTTGGTCTTGGGAACAAACAGTATTCCATCTTTCAAATATGGCATATTTCTAAACAGTTTGGGAAAGATGTTAGAATTTTTTAAAAGTCAGCTATTTTATAAATTGGAAGTACTCAGTAGTCAGAAATTAAGATCCCCTCTGATAGAGATAGATTCTCAAAACCGAAATGGGACTGAAAATTAGATTGAGAAGAAAGATACAACTTCCTCCATAGCCAATAAAATCTGTCTTTCCAAGTCTGCTTATTAATGCTGTGAATCGCTCCTTCTGTTTGTGAAAACATCTCCTGGACTGGAAATGTGGTGCTGTAGCAGCCAGCTTAGCCAAAAGGTGGAGAATGTTAAATATCTTTTATGGGACTTATGATAAAATGTATTGATGTTAGTGATTGTCAAAATAGGTTTATCATTTTAAAAACTAAGAAATTACTAAGTATAAAGAAGAAAAACCAGTATTAACTAAGTGATGAGACCTCTTTATTTTATTTTCCCTGACTTATTTCCATTACCAAACATTTTAGTAAAGGCTAGAAAAGATTAAAAAAAAAAAAAATTAACACAGTCATTCCATTGTT